CCCAAGTCTGACGTTCTCATGCTCAGTCAACAGTCCAGCAGGCATTTCGTGAAAAAGAGCCCGTGATGAAGTAAGTTTGGAAGATGCTGGGTTAAGCAAGTTTCTTTACTAAAGGACTTAGAGTCCTTATCTTCCCGTTGTGCATTCAAAATCTTCATGAGGGAGGAAGTGCTTCACAAACTTGTTTGAACCTCAAATCGTTTTGTTTCCTAAGGAGCGCTTCACACATCTGTTTACTTCTGAACATCAACACGGTGAAAGATTGAGCTGGATTTCAACCGAGGTCTGTCTGCCTCCCATTCAGCCTCCTTCCCTTTCACAGCTCCTTTTGGAGGCGGGAGCTGGTCTTTGACAACTTCACCTTTTGCCAGTGCTTCGTATAGTATTTGGTTATTCTATGTGCTCAGTTCAATAATGGACGAATGCGGGAAAGAATTCAATGATGTAACAGAAAGAATGGGCGCGCGTGGGCGCTTGGTGATTTCCTTCCTTCCTCAGGTAAAAGGTCCACTCAGAGTGCCAGAGACGCCAGTTACACCAACGGATTTTAATGCGCCAGAGAATCAAAAGTCCATTCGCAGGGTTTCAGACTCCACATGGCAACTAACCTTTACGAAACTGCCACTTGTCAAACTTTGGTGTAGCATCAAAGAAGAAAAGCTACGGTGATCCGGAGAACCTTATCAAAATACTCCTCCCTTCTCCAACTATCTGTGTGCGGTTGATTTTCTTCCTATGCTTCAATCAAAATGTATTGGGTTGGCCAAAAATTTCATTTGGATTTTTCTGTAAGACGTTACAGAAAATCCTGAACGAACTTTGTGGCCAAACCAATATTACAACAAAGTCAGAAGCAGACTAAAAATTGAGTTGTTTTCTATTATAACAAACATCAAAGAGATGTGCAAAAATGCTAAAACAATGCTACTCTTCTCACTGATTTGGGGGGGGGGGGGGGGGGGGGAACATACTGTTATTTTTCATTAAAAGTGAACTATGTAGGTTATGGGGTTTTTAAAATAAATTTGTTTATTTTATTTATTTGTTTTTGGTTGCGTTGGGTCTTCGTTGCTGTGCGCGGGTTTCTCTAGTTGCGACGAGTGGGGGCTGCTCTTAGTTGCAGTGCGCGGGCTTCTCATTGCGGTGGCTTCTCTTGTTGTGCAGCACGGGCTCTAGGCACGCAGGGCTCAGAATTGTGGCTCATGGGCCCTAGAGCGCAGGCTCAGTAGTTGTGGCGCACGGGCTTAGTTGCTACGCGGCACGTGGGATCTTCCCAGACCAGGGCTCGAACCCGTGTCCCCTGCATTGGCAGGCAGATTCTTAACCACTGCACCACCAGGGAAGCCCCAGGTTTTGGGTTTATTATTGCTATTTTAAAATAAATATTCTAAATGTTTCTCAGTTTTAAATTCTAATACAGTGAATAATAATAGATATAACGCACAGACACCAAACTCTTTGGGACTCTCAGTGATTTTTAAGATTGTAAAGGGGTTCTGAGACCAAAAAGTTTGAGAACCACTGCTCAAACTAAGTACTTCCTGAAATCTCCCCCCAAACTGAACTCCATGTGGGAATGGCTTCTAAGATACTGGAAAAGTTTAGAGCCATGATCATTGAGTTCCTAGGAAAATGCCCTATGCAGGACTCTTCTCGCTCTAAGGATCTCAATTTCCTGTGTATTTCACAGCCATATTGAAATTATTTGCAGAGATTTTTAGAATTATACGAAGTGGCAACACAAAATGGACCCATTATTCAGATGGGAAAAATAAAGGTAAAAAGTTGAGACAGTGTCAAAGAGCAGATCCTGGGTGGATCCACCCTGTCATGGGGGAGGAAGACCCCAGTTCTCCAAACTTCCCGGGAGCCTCTGCAGCCCAGGAAACTGTGCAGGACCCGGCTTTTCTCATGACACATCCATGGTTTGGCCTGTGGTCTCAGCTGCAATCATCATGGGAATAGCTTGTAGTATTCTGGCCCCTGTTCATTTCCGTCACCGCTGAAAGCAGGAATTATCCATGTGGGTGGAAAAAGAAAATGTGAACAATTTAAGAAACACGACAGAAGACGTAAACAAGAGCCCGGCCGCCCCCTGTTTGCTTCTCCCCAAATTTGTTTCCAACGTGGTGTTGTTCACCCGAGGTGTGATTGATACCAAGGCCTGAAATGCAGGGATGATTTAAAGTGACAGCCGGGGCCCATTTCACTGCAGTCTGAAAACTCCAGCCTCCCTGAACCCACCCCGTTACAGCCCAGGCTCAATTTCCCACACAGAGCACTGAAAAATGATTCCCAACACCAGACCGCAAGGGGCTTTTTATCTTTGCTGTCAGCCTGAAATACATTCAGAACTCAAAGCAATTATGGAAACATTTGGGTCTCCTGAACTTTTCGCTGTTGGGTTTCTCTACCAAATAAAATGAAATGAAGCTTAGTTCTTTGGGGATTAATATAAACAAAGATCATAAAGGCATCTAGTGAACGGGGTAGGGGGCGGAGATCACAGGCTATGAATGACCAACCTCACTTGCGTTCAGCACAAGAACATCTTGCTTCATGGGGGAATCAGGGGCTCTAGGAGAGGGCCTTGCTATGAATACAGTTAATTCTTCTAATTAGAACCCAGGAAAATGTTGTTTCAGCTCCCCCAGCCTCACTCTGCCAATCTACATCTTCAAGGTCCTGAATAGCACGAAATGCAAATGTCCTTTTTTTTAAAAAAAAAAAAAAGAAGGTGGTCAGAGGGTCTAGAGGGAAGAAGGGAATTTTGAAGTATGCAGTAAGTCAACAGACCCGTGAGCAGTGGGACAGTAAAATTTCACAGCCAGGCTTTGATCTGGATTTCAGAAAAATGAAGCCATAAATGTAGAATGTTTTATGAACCCCAAAATAAGAAACTCTTTGTCTTTTATCTAAAATGTCTACTGAGAAAAATCAGAGGATTATCTAAACGTCGAGCTCATTATATTTTATTTGTGGCAGGGTAAGGAGAGATCACAAAAATATTTACTGAGGTTTATTTTAACTCAAAATAAACTAAATGTCGTTATATATATATATATATATTCTTCAAACGGGTTTCAGTGGACAAATCCATCAACCCAAACAGGTAGAAATGAATGCCTTTTCTTGCCGAGATGGAAATTTCCCCTCTGAGGCTGCCCTGACTGCCATGAAAGTTGCATTCTGTTGTCAGCTCTGCAGGTGAAAATCCTCTCTCCACCCTTTGCTACCTGCCAGGTATCCCAGAATGGTGGTAAAAGCCACACCGTGACAGGTGACATCACAACCCGAGAACCAGCCAGACCCCTCCTCAGCACCCTACATACATCACCGCTTTTACGCTCTCTGAACCCAGTACCCGAGTTAATACTTGTCACGTAGGAGATGCTCAAGGACACCAGCCACCTGACTCTTCACTGGAGTTCGGTCCTCTCTGGACAGGTGCCACTGCACCCAGTTTACAGGTGAAGAGTTCCCCCAACTTCCTCAGGGCCACGCGGCCAGTATGGAAGCCCAAAGGACTCTTTCTTACAATGCCTGTAAAGTTAGCCAAGAGGAGGGGAGAGGTGGGAGCAGACCCGAGGAAGGTGAAAATTCTCCCAGAAAATGGAAAGCAGAGAACGAGTGGTCTGAGTGAGTTGCCCAGAGGAGCAGGGCCTCGTTATTCCTGGCACCTGGTCCTTGGCACACCTGAGCTTGAGTGTATAAAGGTGCCAGCGTGGCTGGAGAGTGCAGAGGTGCACACTTGGACTCTCGGGATGCTTTAACGCTACTGGATGCAAAGTCAGTGCCCGTCCTGTTATGAACCCACCTCCGCGGAGCCCTGCGGGCGGCATCCACCGACTCCAGAGACCAGCCCACAGTGTGCCCCTGTCGTTCCCGAGCTCCGTGCTGCTTTGCATTTGTGCATATCTGTCGTAACTGCCGGGGTAGGTGCTTCCTTCCACCTCTGTTTGCAAAGTGCTTTGCTCAAGGGTCCCTCGGCAGAGTTTAATGCATTGTCTCTAGACAAGTGCTCTAGTCCTGCAGGTCGTAACCCATTAGTGGATCATGAGGTCAGGGGAAGGAGCCATATATGTTTTATTTTTTAAAAAAAAAAAAAAGTAGAGCAGGGCAGAATGGAATGGAATGGAATGGGCTAGACCAAGGCACTATTCACATGGTAAGCAGTGGCTTCATCTCTGAAACATCTGTTTTGTGCGTGTGTGTGTGTGTGTGTGTGTGTGTGTGCGTGCACATGAGTATGCACGTGTGTGTGTGAGGGTAGCCTGGGTACGTTAGTCAGGGCTACACTATGCTGCTGTATTAGAGGGACACACAATATAGTGGCTCAACAAGGTAGAAGTTTGCTTCCCTGTCTGCACCCAGCCAGAGGTGGGCAGGGGGGCCAGGGATAGTAGACAGCTGTGCTCTGTGGGATAATCTAGACCCCCAGATCCTTCCCAGGGTGTTCCACCTCCCCTGGGTGTGACCCTCATCAACCTGGCCTGGCCTGGCCCCTGCCTGAAGCAAGCCGTACGGCCCACAGGAGAGGGTGGAGAGGAAGCGGAAGGCAGGTGCTTTCCTCTTCCAAGGGCCCCACCTGAGGTGCACATACTTCTTCCCACATCCTATAGGCCGGAAGGTAGCCTCCAGGTCATACCCACTTGCTAGGAGAGACTGATGGGAAATGTAGTCTTCCAGCTGAGCAACTGGGTGCCCACTCAAACTTAGGGGGTTCTAGCACTAAAAGCAAGAAAGAGAGAATGGAGGCCAGGTAGCATCCTCCACTGCCCCAGAGACCCAGGTAAAATGACTTCTTATTAGGGATGTGTTTTAAAATGTTTGAAAGCCACTGCCTCATGGACACTCTTCCTTGTCCTTTATGAAAACCCCCAGGATCCCTTGATCTAATGAAAAGGGCATGATCTGAACTTAAGGAGAGTTGGATTGTAGCCTTAGCACCCAGTGGTTACGTGTACTCATGCAGGACCTTTGGCCTTCTTTCTCCTCAGTATTTCGGCAGTGAGATGGGGGCATGGCACCCAGCTCCCTGATTCACGGGCTCCTCGGAGTGTGAGATGAGATCAGAAAGGCAAAGCATCTGAGCAAAGTGAAGGATGCTCTGAAAGACATGTGATTATCCTCTTCAAATTCCCACTCAGCTGCTAATCAGCCATGTACACTTGAGTGAGTTTCCTCCCCTCTGGGTCTCAGCTTTCACTTTTTTGTTGTTGTTTTTGAACCTGATTGGTTTTGGATTTTTTTTTTCAGCTTTCAGTTTTAACACAGGAGAGAATCAGATTTGGTGGTCTTTAAGGTCTGACATTTTAGAATCTGCTTTTGCTGTCCCCACCCTGAGTCTTCTCTACGTGGTCTGAAGCTACTTAACTGTAAGTTTAAACAAATGAGCTGGAATACTATCGGGACACTGTCATTTTTGCATGAATGCACTGCAGATGAGTGTGTGAAACATTATTGAGAGAAATGTTTATGTTTCAACATGATCATGATAAGACATGGATTGCGGCTGAGTTTGCTGATGTGAAATCACTGAGGGGGAAGAAAACTGAAAGTGTTTTAAAAAAATTTTCACATTAGGTGAATGTGTGGGAGGACCTAATTTCTAGCAACACAACCTCAGATGGTGTTGGAAAAGATAGAGATTGGAGTGGGTGACTTTTTAGGAAGAAGGACCATGTGTTAAGAATGCTTCCTTGCCAGCCCCTCTCTACACATCTCCCAAAGCCAGCCCAAGACCAGTTAAGCAGAGAGTCATCAACCAACGTTTTTGACAAAAGGCCATGACTTTTGCACCTTTGCCATATCATTATACCTTGACATTGAGTTCTTGACATGCTGTGCTTGAAATGTACAACTTTTAGCTAATTAGAAGACTAAAAAATGCGACTTAATGAATTCAAGACTTGTTTATGCTAACCTGGCAAGGCGTTTGGCAGTGAAAAAGTGTGATTTGGTGAACATCTGATTACGAGCCGTGTGGAATTCCATGTGCGGAGAGGCTGGGTTGGATCGGATTTTTATTGAAGTGTTCTCTAGTATGTGAACTAATTTCCGACTACTTCATAAAGACCCCTAAGCAGGGTTGACAAAGGATTTATCATAATTATTGCTCTGGCCAGGAACATGATTATAAGTGATACACGTGTAAATTGTGTTTATAAAGTTTCCGAGTCACAATTAAAACATGCTGTAATTTTTCTTCCTTTTCCCTTTTTTTCCTCCTAGTGATGACTTGCCTTTAAAAACTTCCTTTTTTCTCCCTCAAATTAATACCTGCCAGAGATTTCCTTTGGACAGAACAGACTCCCAACACATACCCGTACACATTCTTAAGAAGCTTTTGATCTGCCATTTTTTCAAACCCGCCCCCTGAAAAAGTAGTTCAGCTATCAATACTTTACATAACCCTTCTGTCAAAGCCACAAGCTCAAAGTAATTTGCAAATGCCATTCAATACTCATTCAGTGCTTAGCACAAGCCATTTTAAAATCATAGAGTACACTGAGAACATGTCAAAAAGGAACAGAATGGGGTTCAGAGGGCTGAGCAGAAGGAAGGTAGGAAGAAGAAAGGAATGTGTTAAGAGCCAGGGTAGAAATATCACTATAGGGAATTCCCTGGCGGTCCAGTGGTTAGGACTCAGCGCTTTCACTGCCGAGGCCCAGGTTCAATCCCTGGGTGGGGAGCTAAGATCCCACAAGCTGTGCAATGTGGCAAAAAAAAAAAAAAATCACTATGTTGTTTGTTGGGCATAAAGTTCTATACAATTCTACTAGAGCAAACTTAGTTATTATGTTATTGTCCATATATGTATTATTTTTGTCTCTTTGAGCTCTCAGGGTCTAAAAGTGTGTATTTAAACATCTCCAGGGGGCTTCCCGGGTGGTGCAGTGGTTGAGAGTCCGCCTGCCGATCCAGGGGACACGGGTTCGTGCCCCAGTCTGGGAAGATCCCACATGCCGCGGAGCGGCTGGGCCCGTGAGCCATGGCCGCTGAGCCTGCGCGTCCAGAGCCTGTGCTCCGCAACTGGAGAGGCCGCAACAGTGAGAGGCCCGCGTACCGCAAAAAAAAAAAAAAAAAAAAATCTCCAGGACTTCCCGGGTGGCACAGTAGTTAAGAATCCGCCTGCCAATGCAGGGGACACGGGTTCGAGCCCTAGTCTGGGAAGATCCCACATGCCGCGGGGCAACTAAGCCCGTGCGCCACAACTACTGAGCCTGCGCTCTAGAGCCCACGAGCCACAACTACTGAGCCCATGTACCACAACTACTGAAGCCCACGTGCCTAGAGCCCGTGCTCCGCAACAAGAGAAGCCACCGCAATGAGAAGCCCGCGCACCGCAACGAAGAGTAGCCCCAGCTCACCATAACTAGAGAAAGCCCGCGCACAGCAACGAAGACCCAACAGAGACAAAAATAAACAAATAAATTTATTTTTAAAATAAATAAATAAAATAAAAATCTCCAGCTAGTGAACACCAGATGATTTATCTATTCCTCCCCATAATGCCGTCTATTGTGGATTTATTGGAAGGACCGTTATAGTATCATAGTTTCTCATCTTTTTTTTTTTTTTTAAAGCAACAAATAAAGACTGCAAGAACAAAGGATTCCGAAACCAAGAAGTTTGCAACAACTAACCACACCCCTCCCTCACCTCGCCTTTAAAAATGCTTTGCTGAAACGCGTTAGGGAGTTTCGGTTTTGGGGGCAAGAGTCAGCCATCTCCTTGCTTAGCCCTGCAGCAAACCTTTCTCTGCTCCAAACTGTGATGTTTGTTTGGCCTCAGTGTGCATCTGGCACATGAACTTGTGTTGGGTAAAGAATCAGTCTGAGAAACATCTTTTATTTATTTTTTCTTTGAGAGGTGTGCCTTAGTTTCCTCCCAGCTTTATTGAGATATAATTGACACTTAACATTGTGTCAGCTTAAGGTGTGCAGCGTGTTGATGTGATACCTTTATATGTAGCGAAATGACTACCAGCTCAGCATCAGCTAGTCGCGCCTCCAGCCTGGCGCGCAGTTACTACTTCTTTTTGTAGTGAGAACACTTAAGATCTACTTTCTCAGCGACATATGTGACACAGTATTATTAGCTGTAATCCCCCGCTGTACATTAGATCCCCGGAACTTACGCATCTTACGACCTCTACCGCCTCTCACGGGCTGAGGGGCATTTGGAATCTCCAGGAGGGAGTGTAGCGTTCGGCGCTTTTGCAAACATACTTGGCCCTGGAACTCTGGTTTTCTGGAGCATCTCTTGGGGGGATTATTCCATCAGGCACACTTTGAAGGATGAGCTAAACCTGGAGGCATCTCGGAAAATATTCTGTGGTTCCTTCCCGAGGAGCCGGTGTCTCCCAAGGGGCCAATCATGAAGCGAGCTCACACCCCCTCAGTCAGTGCTGACCCCGTGCGCTCTGTTAGCGCTTGGACCGTGGTTGAACAAGACACAAGGACAGGCCTGAAAACATCGACACTTCCCATTTTAATGGTAAAAGTGTGTTTGGGGAGATCATGTGGCTTGTCCCTTGGGTTTTGCATTAGAAGTCAACACTCCCCCAAGGGGGTGAGCTCAGAGCCCAATCGCCAGGGTTCAGATCCCAGCTCCACGATTCCAACCTGAGTGACCTTGGGACAGTTACGCAACCTCTCTGAGCTTCCCTTTGCTTATCTGCAAAATGGAGATGCAGATTGTGCCACTTTCGCGGGTTGCTGTCGGGATTCAGTGGAGAAGCCACAGAAAGCACTTCCCCTGGAGCCTGGCACTTAATAAACACTCTGTGAATATGAGCTATTCCAGAGGCTTTTTCTCTATTACACTTTGCTGTGATTCCGAATGGAGCTGAGGCCGCATGGCCTAGGGATTTCACGTATGAACTTCCAAGCCAGACCACCTGGTGACCTTCAGCAAGGCACTTAACCCCTGCGAGCCTCAGTTTCTTTGCAGCAGGTGGGATAAAGAGCAACCCTAGCCCGCGGGGTTGTTGCAGTTCAGTGAGTTAGTATTTGTAAGCGCTGAACCCAGTGCCGTCACAAGGCTTACACTCACTAAACCTCAGCAGGACTGCGCACTCCCCTCTCTTCTGAACGCTCCAGAAGCGGATCAGGTGGTCTCTGAAGGCTCTGCTCTTCCGTGAATGATGTTCTCCTGGGGCAGCTCCCCGCAGCCAGGAGCGACGCCGGCCGCGACTCTGTACCTGGCTCCCAGCCCCACGCTGGCTGGGGTCAGGCACCAGGAGAGACTCGGCCCAGACGGTGCACTTTCCCCGAGGGTGCGGGGCCCCTGGCTGTGCCTGTCAGCCGAGGACTGGCATCCGTCACACTCATCATCAGATCCTGAGGTCCCAGAGGAGCGGAGAGCATCCGCTGAGGGAGTGGCCAATCCGCAACGAAAGCCCCCGAGGCTGGTCGTGCTGAGTCCCCTCGCGTGGAACTTGGAGCAGCGGGAGGAGACGGGCCTGACCTTTCCTCCTGATGGCCTGCTGTCTGCGTGAGGTCTGAGAAGCCAGGACAGAGTGTGGCCCTCTGGGATGTCAGCGGACTCTGGTGCTGGCTCTGCCTCCCTGTGGGTGCTGGGCAGGGGCTAAGTCCACAGTGACACCCCCAGCAAGGGTCCTGTCCGCTGCCATCGTGTCCTCCAGCTCCTTTCTGATGGGACTTGGGATGAGTCCCGGGCACCGTAAGTGTGAAAGGGGCTTAACGACAGAGAACTTACCTCGGAGCCCGCCCAGCAGCCCTCGGCCCCCACAGGTCATCGGCAGGCCGCATCACACATGCCAACGGCTTCCTGAGGACCTTCTCAACCCCACCCAGGACAGGCCAGACGGGGCAAGGAGTCAGTGCCCCCAGGCGCATCCCAGGGTGCGTCCCCAGCTTCGGGGCCCTCAGTGGACCCTGCCCTGGCCCGCCCGCATGCCCACAGCAGGAAAGCATCGCCAATGAATGTTTATTGCCTTTCTGGCTTCCCCGTCTCACTCCCAGCACACCACTGCCCAAGCCACATGTCAGGCTGTGCTCTGGGAAGACCCAGACTCAGACGGTGCTGACGCCGTTGCCTCCAGGAGCGCGGGCTCTGTGTCCAGCTCCCAGTTGCATGCAAGTTTCCTCCTGTCCTTAGCAGCCGGGCCCTGGCAGTGCGGTCACGTATTCGAATTTCTTCCTTTGCAACATGAATGTGATAACGGCACTTCCCTCCTGGTAGCAGCCTCAGGACGGACCAAGTCCGAGTACAGAAGGACCAAGAGAACGTGTGTGTCCAGGGAACAAGCAGCACACGCAGGGCAGCTGCTGTTATGTGTGCACTTAGCACAGTTTCTCAGCCAGTTGGAGCCTCAGTTTGCACATCTGTGAAATAGGAGAATAATCGATGACAAAAGCCAATACGACGCTTGCTGGGAACCTGCACTGAAGGGGGCTCGGTAAATACCAGCTGCTGTTGTAATTGTGATTGTCGACGACTCCCTGTCATGACTGACCCCCACACAGCAGTGCCTGAGATGCTGGCTGAGTGACAGGAAAAGCTGACCAGCTGCTGCAGAGGTAAGGGCGGGGCATAGATCCAATCGGTCACCCAATAGCCACAGGCAGTATTCCCCTGACACAATTCCTTGTCAGATCACAGAAGGAATGCCGAAGGGGCCAGGGAAGGGGAGATGCTCTGATAAAAATCACTAAAATAACATCCAATGCTAGAGATCAATATATGCATCTTCAGTTTAACTGCTTGCTTTGTCCTTCAACAGCACTGAACCTGTGGCACTCGGATGGCACAGGTGGTGGGCCGCGTGCGACTCCCAACGCAGATGAGAATAGCCCCGCGGGGACCAGATGCTGAGCAGTGCTTTACCACCATGGTCTCGGTGAGTCCCAGCCAGGTGCCAGGTCGGTGCGAGTGGCTGTACTGAATGGTTGTGGAAACTGAGGCTCAGAGAGACGGATTCGCTCGCCCCTCGCCAGGCAATAGCAGAGCAGGGGCTGACCCCGGTCCATCTGAGGACCACGGAGGAAGGGCTGGAAGCACCAAGGAGGCTCAGATGCAGAGAGCTGAGATGGAGAGAGCTCTCCACCTCTGGTCTCAGCCAGGGCTCCCCGTGGGGCAAACCTACACCGGAGCCAGGGTGCAAGGCCTCTGGGAGGTGTTGGCAGACAAGAGCAGAGGTGGGACAGGGACGGGCTCTGGGGACAGAAACAGAGTTCCCCCTTCTCACAGGGTGGCCACAGGTCTTCCGTGGACACCCTCACAGGCTCCTCTGCCCCTCCCTCCCCTGCAACAAAGCTGGCAACTCCCCTCCCTGAAAAAGAAGGGGAAAAGCATGAATACATTGGCCGGCTCCACATGATACAATACTGTGTTAGTCCCACCATTTCCTGCTAAGTCACTCTCTTCTTTTACAAAGTTCAGCCACTTACACGGAAGATGAAAACAAGCACTTCCAGCCACGTAAAAATCTGTGCAATGATCCCACCATCCCCAGAGCATGCGGCAAAGGCCACACATGTGCCCACAATGGGCCACCTTCCTACCCCAAAGGCATGGGCGGGCAGCCAGGAAGGGGACCCAGCGCCCGGCAGCACCCTACACACCCAATGCAGCCTTCTGCTCTCTGCTGAGCTTGGAAGCCGACCTCCCTGGATGGGGTTCAAACACCTACACACTTTTATCAGCTTTTAAAAAAATGGAAGTGAAAAGTCTAATGGGATTGCTGAGTAGAGATTGAACAGTTCCAGGGGAGGAAGTAATATGGGATAAAAAGAGGGTGTTGAGTTTCAAAGCTCCTAATAGAACGCTGGCGAAAACTTGCGTGGAGAGCACTTGTCCTCAGAGTGCCAGATTTCATTTTGGATATCTGGTCAGAAAAAGAAGTGAAAATGTCAAGTAGAGAAAGAAATTAGGGCGACCGAGGACTTTCATGGTGGGAGGAAATGTTTAACTAAGTGCATTATTCATTTTTCATTGATTTAAATGCCAGGGGCTTTAGCTCAGAGTGTGGGGCTGGCAGTAAGGTCCAGGCCCAGCAAAGCTGTGCAGTTCAACTTCTTTTCTTTTTCGTAATCTCGGTTAAACAGCTCTGGTCCTCTGGGGTCTTTTGGCTGAGAGCAAATATTCTGTCTCCTCCAGGGAAACTCTGCCTTTTTGCTTGGCAGAAAAATGGAACTGGTAACCTAATAGAACTTGCGTTTCTCTGGTTACCAGGACTGAGTGAGCCTTTAATCTCCACTGAATTACCCCATCCCCTGGGATTGGGTGGGAGGTCTTTGAGTCAGTGAAAAGTTCACTGTGGTTTTGACATAGGCCTGCTATTTCTTGCGTCTCCAGAGGGGACTCTGTGAGTGAACCATTCTTGAAATCACACAGAAATGCCTTACTTTTTCCTTCTGACTCTGACATACAACAGTCATCTCTCTTCTTATTTGATGTGTTCCAAAATGTCGTAGTTGCTGCAAACTATTTCCCTAACTGATCTGGAATGCAGACTAATTCCCGTGCCCTGAAGTGGTTCATGGGTCCCAAATTTGGAAATCGTTTCATACATTTAAGACTAGCCTTGTTAGGGCTACAGTTTAGAGTCATGTTTAATAAACAGACCACCACCCCCCCCCCGCCAAAAAACTCCACAAAAAACAGAGGAAGACTATGGTCTCTGACCCTATTATCATAAATGTTTTTTTCTAATTCTACAAACATTGTGGTAATAATCATAACAATAACAAAAATAGAAGCGAACATTTGTGAGACACTACCTTCCAGGCACCATACTGAGTATCTTACATACTCAGCGCATTGGATTTCCCTGATTATCTGTGAGAGAGGCCTTGACACTCACAGAGAAGTTCACAGAGGGGCACAGAAGTGGTGTGGTTTGCTCAGGTTGACACAGACAATAAGAGGTGGCCCCAGGACAGAGTTCTCTTTGGTGAATTCACCGTCATCTGAGTCACCCGCAGGGGTAGAATTTATGGGTATCTTACAATCACTGATGCCACAGTTTTGACCCAAGGGGCCACCATACCAAAAGCTTCTACTCCAGTAAAGAGTTAGAACCAGCGGTCCCTTCTTCTTCCCACTTATCCATCCTGGAGACCTGGTCCATGGCTTAATTCAGATGTTGGCTACGTCACTTGCACTCGTATCCCACTGGCCAGAAGTTAGTCATACGACCATGCATGGGAGGCTGGGAAATGAAGTCCTTACCTGGACAGCCACATACCCAGCTGAAGCCCTGGGATTCTATTACTAAGGGAAAGGGAAAGTGATACTGGGTGACAATAGCTGTGTCTGCCACAATCCATGCACGATTGTGGCCCCAGTGACTGTCCCCATCTCCAGTACATAAGTCCTGAATAAATAAACTCACCTGTCAAAGTTTGCCAACCTCAGATAAGAACCCCAACCATTATTCCAAGCTTCCGGAAGTCCCAGCATTAAAAAGTAGAGTAAAAATCCTCTTATCCACATAGATAAGGCAAATGCTGGTACCCCCATTCACAACTGAGGATGGAATATCCATGCTCCCCTACTTCCTTACCAAGAGGACCCCGATTTTATTCAGGGTGACAGCAGAGCCGTCACTCTTCCTTCCAGAAGAATCCTTAATAATCTGCGTGGACGCTCTCTGCTCCAGGAGGTGGAGCCTCATCCCGCCCTCGAGTGTGCGCTGAATTACTGCATTGCTTCCAAAGGATGGAGACCAATAGTAGCCTTAGAGTGAAGAAGCCCGGCAGACACTATGTTAATCAGGTGACCAAGGGCAACGTCACCAGTGATAAGTCATGTGGATATGATGCCCCCACCCCAATATCTCTGTGCATATAACTCTAGTCAAAGCATGAGAAAAGCCCAGTTGACAAACAAACTCAACCTGGGGGACATTCTACAAAACATCCTACCATTCCTCTCTGAAACCGTCAAGATCATGACAGCAAGGAAAGTCTCGGAAATTGTCACAGCCCAGCAGAGGCTAAGGAGACGTGATGACTAAATGCAGTGTGGGACCCTGGATGGGACCCTGGGACAGAAAAGGACCTTGTGGGAGAACTGGTGAAATCCAAATAAGGTCTGGAGTTTAGTTAACTGTATGTATCAGTGTTGCTTCTTACTTTTGAAAGTGTGCCATTGTGATGGAAGACAGTAACAGAAGGGGAGACTGGGTGCGAAGATAGTAGCAGAAGGGGAACAGAAGGGGAGACTGGGTGCAGGGTATGTGGGAGCCCTCTGCACTGTCTCAGAAGCTTTTCTGAAAATCTAAAATTGTTCCAAAATAAAAGAGCATCAAAATAAAGAAATACCCAGCATCCCTTGCAGTTAGAGGCAGCCAAATGACCCGGTTCTGGCCAACGAGATGTGAACAGATGTCTGTCCACAGACGTGGGTTTCTAGGAAAGCTATCGTGTGCGTGCGTGTTTTGCTTTGTTTTAAATAAAATCTTGGCACACACCTCTTCCCCTTTTCTTATCACCTCCTCCATGCCTGAAATGCAGGCTTAGTGCCTGTACTCAGGACCGAGGGCAGTAAGCCAGAAGGAGACCCAGTTCTTAACAAGCCCGTCAGCCACTGCAGCGTGCTGGACTGCCCATCTTTGGAACCCTTGTCGCACGGGAAAATCAAGCCTCACAGCCTGACTTCATTTGGTGAAGCTGGGTTAAGTTTCTGTGATATGCAGAGTCTGCTCTAGTGGATGTTAAGTGGAATCATAGGAAGTTGCCAATAGTTGATTATTCGGACTTACAAAAATGGCAGTTACCAAGTGTGACCTACCATGGGTTATATTTTTTCCAAATGTCATTAAAACATCTTCATCAACTACAAATCTAAATAACAAGCAGTAGCAAACGCCCCTCTCCAGCATTTTTTGGGGGGTGAGCTTTTGGTCTCTTAAGAACCATAAGAATAGATCTTAAATGTCCTGTTTTACCTGGGATGCTGTCACTGCTTGAGACTGCAGATGATTCAGTGAGAGATTCTCAGCCTCTCGCCACTGCATGCATTAGATGGCACTGTTGGTGTTTAGAAAAGATTCTTATCTTCCTAGCAGTTTCACTCTTAGGAATATGCCCAAAAGAATTGAAAACAAAGGACTTGAGAAAATACTTGAATATTCATAACAGCGCTATTCATAATAGCCCAAAAGTGGAAACAACTCAAACGTCCAGAAACTGATGAACGGCTAAACCGAATGTGGTCCATCCACACAGTGGAATATTATTCTGCCATATAAAAGGAATGAATTTGTCATACAGGCTACAACACAGATGAACTCTGAAGACATTATGCTCCGTGAAAGAAGCCAGACACAGGAGAACATGTATGATTCCATGTGTCCGAAATGTCCAGGATAGATAAACCAATAGAGACAGAATGCAGACTGGTGATTCCAGGGGCTGGAGGAGGGGAAAACGGGAAGCAACTGCTCAATGAATACAGAGTTTCCCTCTGGGGTGATGAAAATATTTTGGAACTTGTTAGAGATGGTGGTTGCACAGTGTTGTGAAAGTACTAAATGGCACTGAACTGTACACTTTAAATGATTAATTTTATGTTTTGTGAATTTTGCCCTAGATTTAAAAAAAAAAAAAAACCTTTTTTTCAGTGCGTTTAAATACATGATAGAACCAAGATAATAATCCAACAAAATGACTTATAATTGAGATAAAAGAAAATAAGATCAAGCCAGCCAAGGGCAAAAAGCTCTCTGTGCACTGGGTTTGTACCTCCAGTGTGCCAGTTATCTCTTGCTGCAGAGCGAAACCCTCGAAAGTGCAGTGGCTTAAGACAATGACGACATTTATTTTGCTCACACATCTCTGCATCGTGCAGGGTTTGGCAGGGACGGCTCATCTCTACTCCGCTCAGCACCACCCA